CTTTTAACTAGAGTCAGGGGTACTAAATTTGATTTTCCAATAAGACTCCTTTTAATGTTAGATATGAAAGCAAAATTTTAAACAATGGAAGTACTGTGTAATTGGAAGATGATGAGACAGGGAGGGAACACCCAATAACCTGAACAGTTTATGCCAGTCCCTGTCCATTTGGAGCCAGCCCTGGTGGAAGAAGTCAGAGACAGGTGCTTACCGAACCTTAACTGTAGGCCATGTGTGTGCTAGGTTACGAGATGACAGGGTTGTATCTGTCCTGGAGGAGGAGCTAGTGAAGAAGAGAGATGTGTCCATATATAACTATAATAGAGTATGACAAGATCCTTCATAGAAGAAGGAGCAGCATGCTGTGAGAACACTGTGGCCTCTATCCTAATTTAGTTTTCCTAGGGAAAGGTGGAGAAAGCTAAGAATGGTACAGAGAGGAGGGGACATCTGAAGTGGCCTCTGAAACTTGAATAGAAGCTCTTCTGACAGTCAGTGGGAAAAAGAGAATGTGCTAAAGGACAGAAGAAATGAAAGAACGTGGCCTGCCTCATGGAAATAGCAGGTAGTCCAGGGAAGAGTCTGGCTAGATTATGAAGGACCAAATACCACACAAGGAAGTGTGGACCGCATTGTTTAGACAGTGGAGTACCATTTCCTGTGACAGCAGTGAGCTCTTGTTATATAGGTCTCTTAGCTTCAGCGTGCTTTAGCTTCAGATACACAAACCAAAAATCTCCACTGAACATTTACTATGGGCCAGGTACAGAGAGAGCCACCTGCTTTCACATGGCTCCAACACCACCAGACAACCTGGGATCACATTCTAGCTGTGCCACTTACTAGCTCTGTGACAATGAGCATGCTACTTAACTTTTCTGTGCCTCCATTTTCTTTTTGTTTGTTTGTTTTATTTTGTTTGGTGGCTGGCCAGTACAGGGATCGAACCCTGGACCTTGGTGTTATCAGCATCATACTCTAACCGAGCTAACCAGCTAGCCCCTGTGCCTCCATTTCCTTATCTGTAAAGTGGGGATAATTACATACCACAGAGGGTTGCTGTGTGGATTAAATGAATTAGTATATGTAAAGCCCTTAAAATAGTGCCTTAGTATTACGTAATTGTTAGCTGTTATCATCATCAAAGGACGTATTATGTAGAGGAAAGAGAATTAACTTTGGAGTCATAAAACTTAGCCTTGAGACCCAGTACTGATGTGAATGAATTCTTCCTTTCTCTCTCTCTTTCTTTCTCTCTTGGAAAAACATGGAGGGAGGTGCATGGAGGACAAGTTTTTCAATCCATCTGAACTTTAGTTGCCTTACCCGTAAAATAGGAATGTTTTTCAGGGTTCTTGTGAGCATCAACTGTAATAATGCTATACAAGTGAGTAATCAACCATAAAGAGGCTGTCTACACATTTCTACTACATAGAATGTGGTTACTACAAAGTCACCATATAACTGATCTGTTTTAAGCAACCCAGACTTATCTAAGTGGGTTTTGTTCTTGTTAATTCAACCAGTGTTAATTAAGGGCCAACTCAGTACTGTCATCTTAGGCCAGTGATGCTGTGTCTGTTCTGACCTCCATTTTAAGGTTTCTTCAGAGCTTGGGGTTAGTCTTTATCCTTTGAGTTGCAATGAACAGAAATACAGGCTAGCTTAATTTAAAGGAGTTTTATCAGCAGGATACAGGGGAATTTCAGGTACCCAAAGTGTGAGAAGTGTAGCCATGGAATCTGGAAACTCATCAGGTAGTGTTTTTTTCCATCTGTTAATGGGATTTTTGTGTTTTCTGGGTTTTGGCCTCAGCTTGTCTACATATTTCTAGATTCTTCCTGCAGAATGACTTCTTCTTCAAGGTTCTTGGTTTTTTCTTCTCCATACCTTTGGCTTGTGAATGACTTTGGCTTGCCATGGTACCTGCTCTGAAGCTGAATATGAACTTACTGCTCCAGGGCTGTTTAAAACCCAGTTCCTTTAGTCTGTGTCTTGTAAGTTTAAGAGAAAGAATTGGAGTAGTCCAGCTAAAGCTGGGTGATCACTTTGGTCCCATCAGCTGTGGCAGGGTTGGGGAGAGTGTCATTCAGTACAAATATGTTGCCTGGGCTTTGTGGGAAAGGACAGAGTCACTGAGAATGGGGCTTATTGGTATCTCTTGAGTGCTCCTGATGGTTGCAAATCTCTATGCTTTAAAATGGGTATGAATTTTTGGAACAGCCAAGAATCATTCAGGGCTAGCTTTAATAAATAGAGTCAGCCTTAGACATGCCATATAAATAAAGAAATATCTGTAAAATAATGTAATACTGTACAATAATGTAATAACTTTAAAGGAATGAGCTTTAGCTTGTTTATCTCCAAAGGTAGTATTCAGAAAGGAGTTCAAAAAAATATGGTTTGTTTCTTAGCAGCACCTTTGAAATAAGGGTATAGCTTCTTTTGGTAAGGACTTTAAAATGGGCATCCTCATTTGGATTTTTTAAGTTCTACTGTAGAATCATGAACTTTTAGACTTAGAAGGTACCTGAGACACACTTTAGCTCAGCACTCAGATCTTACAGTAGAAGAAAACTGAGACTTGGGTAGAAGAACACGTACACATTGCAGTGGAACTAGGATTAGGTCCTGAGTCCTTCGGTTCTAAATCCAGTTGCTTTCTTCAGCAGGTAAATCATCCCAGCCCAGTGGTCTTTTGATTGTACCTATACTGCCTACTTATTTTAAAAAGAAAAAGAAACCAAACTAAATACCAAATGGTCTAAAAAGCCATGCTGTACAATTCCATTTATATGAAGTACAAAAATAGGCAAAACTCATCTGTGGTCATAGAAGTCAGAAAGAAGTTGCCTTTTAAAGGACTAGAAGGTAGGGGATTGACTGGAAGGGGGTATGAGGGAATTTTCTGGAGTGATAAAAGTATTCAATGTCTTTTTGGGTGGTGGTTACAAGGTGTGTGTATGTATTTAAATTATATATATTCATATACATACATATGCACATATATATACACTTAAGCTCTATGCATTTTACTGTATGTAAATTATATCTCAAGTTTTAAAAATGACCTCACAACTGTGCAGTCATAACCCCTAATTACAGCAGATTTGCTGATAAGGATAAGGATGCCTGCCCTAGGCCTCCAGAGATTCGTAGTGACACTGCTAGAATGAGAACTCCCCGCCTTCCTCTGTCACCAGAGTACAGCGTATCAATGAGTAGTTACGCTAATGGGGCCAGTTTCTTTTCAGAGGTTTGTTGTGTGTCTAGGCACATAAAAATTACACACGAAAAATTCTGCCTGGAGCTGCAGAAGTTGTGGAAGCTTTAGGAGCCATCAGGCTCAATCTCTTTAGGCTTGATTTAGTTGCAAGGAACAGAAATTCAGGCCAGCAAAGGGGAGAGAGGAAGAGCACTGGCCAAAGTCAGCTCCAAGTTCTGTCTGCCCTTCACTACTTACTACTGGTTGGGTAAACTTGCACACTTAACCAAATTCTTCAAATGGAGGTAATAATCCTGTTCTGCCTGCTTTATGGGATTGCTAGAAAGACTCAACAAAATAAGTGAAAGCACTTTGAAAACCACTTTTTACGTTGTCACGCTCTGGAAATGCTGGCATTTTTGACAGTTGACTTCTTTTGAAGCAGCCCACCCTGATCAGGACCTGCTTTATGGGATTGCTAGAAAGACTCAACAAAATAAGTGAAAGCACTTTGAAAACCACTTTTTACGTTGTCACACTCTGGAAATGCTGGCATTTTTGACAGTTGACTTCTTTTGAAGCAGCCCACCCTGATCAGGAAATGGCCATGAAAGCTTCCCTCTTTCAGAGGCCTGTAGGTTTGTAGGGGATGTGACTTTTACCCTTTTTCAGCAGAGAGATTTGTACTTACCAGACTGCAAAAACTGACATTGTGTTTAGGCTGAAAAATTGATGGCATACATGAATAACAGCCTAGCAATAGCTATGCCACATATGCCAGGAGAGGCAGGCAGTCCCCATTAGTGCAGCATGAATTGCGGGTGAGTGGAGGGTGCAAAAAGGTCTTTTTCATTAAGAGAGAAGCCTCTCCTGAACAAGGCAAGGAGCGTAAATATACATTGAAATAATGCATCAGTCGAGTGACTTCCCATCGTCAGACCTTGGAGAGAGAATGCTTTAGCTACTGCTTAGAATACCACTAAGCTATCAGAGTTGCCTAGGATACCAGTCACGTGGGCCCATCTTCCAGACTTGCTCAAAATGATTTATTTTCCTTTATTTTGGAGAGAAGTGGAGGAAGGGGTCAGAGGTACTTCTAACGCCTTGTGGTCCTATAGCAAGGCCTTTGTGTGAGGATAGCCTTACCTCCCAACACTTGAGCCCTCAGCAGCCCTTGCCTTTGGCAATAGAGACTAAAATAGCATTTCCTGTCCCAGTTCTCTTCCCATTTTCTGAACTTTGCGTCATCCCACACAGAGGAGGCTCCACATTGTGTCCTTCGAGGGGGAAGAAATGGCAGCAAAGAGAAGAGAGAAGACAAGAGAGCTTGTAGTTGGGCCCTGCTGACACTGGTATCTTCCTAGGATAACTGCAGAACAGAAGTAGCCTGGCTCCTTCAGCTAACCATTCACCCACGAGAAGACTGTCCACTCTTACCTGTTTAAGAGCATATGCTTCTCCTCTCCCAAGGTCCCAAGACAGGAATTGCAGTAAATATGCTTTTCCACCACTGAGTCTTCTTGACCCTTACACTGAAGTGTCACATTGGCAGATTTTGCTACTGGCTGATCTGCAGGTGATAGATAGGTTTGTCCTATTTCTACTTGCTAATTTAATCTAAAGAAACAAAAGCCCAAGGAAAGGTTGTGTTATGATCTAGAAAAATTCAAACCAAGTAGTTCCATATGTTTCTTTAAACAGTATCTGTCTTCAGACTCTCCAAAATACATAACAAAAGTGAAAAATGAAGGCATACACTGTGACAGTTTCCCTCTCTATGATTCTTTCTCTCCAGGCAGCTGTGTCTGTGTGTGTGTCTTCGAGAAGTAAGGCCCATTTGGAACGATGCCCCCACCATCAGACATCGTCAAAGTAGCCATTGAGTGGCCAGGTGCTAATGCCCAGCTCCTTGAAATTGACCAGGTATGTTCCTAAAATGAGAAGCAGCGATGCAAGGAGAGGGATCTGGGAAGCATGGCAGAGGATGTTTTTAGGGATTGGGACCATTGGCATCAAGAGTAAGAAACAGCAACAGGAAATCTGAACTTTGGGCCTGGCCCACCCTAGGGAAGGTGGGTAACCATGGCTCAGGAGAGGCTTCCTCTTCAATAAAGCTATCAGGAAAGAAGTTCATTCTCGTGCCCCAGAATGACCCTGCTTGGCAGCCCCTCTCATCAGAACCTTGACATGTGTATGACATAGTTGCTGGTGAATGATCTCTCTCTCTCTTTCTTTCAGAAACGACCCCTGGCATCCATCATCAAGGAAGTTTGTGATGGGTAGGTGGAAACTGACCACATTTTTGACAATGGTTGCTAAGACTAAAGGAGCTCTGCCAGACCTTGAAGGGAATTCTGTGAAGGATCTCCAGTTAGGCAGGTCCCCTGTGTGGTGCTCTTGTGGATCGTTTCTTATGAAGGAAGTATAGTTGATGAGGATGTCCCTAAGACTTACATAAATCTTAATTTTTTTCCCTTAAGTCCATGAACGCCCAATTTAAGGTACTGGTGAGATCTGAGACCCACCCTCGATGGTGTGCAGCTCATTTTGTGGTGCTAATCTTCCAAAAAGCTGAGGAGGTTATTTTTTCAACATCCCAACCTAAAGCTTTATTTTTTTTCCACTGTACTCCAAACAGGCCACCCATTCCCTTGAGCTGCTCTATTGAAAATTATTTATTTGCAGATTCTGGACAGGCCCAAAGGAATGGCCAAATGGGATATGCTGTTTTTCTCTTACGTAGGTGGTCATTGCCAAACCCAGAGTACTACACCCTCCGTTATGCAGATGGTCCCCAGCTCTACATCACTGAACAGGTTAGTACAAAGAGAAGCAAAATAATACAGGCCTTGCTTGGAAGTGAACCAGCCAATGTTTATCTTATTTATCATCCAAATAGCTTCCATTTATTGGGTAAAGAGCTGCTCTCTGGGTAAATTGGGGAAATGCCAGCCCTTATTCTCCTCTAGTAGCTGGAAAAAGGTGACTTTACCTCCCAAGAGCCCAGGGCACTTGAAGAGGATCTTAGAAGCTCTTTGCCAGGGAACAAGCAGGAGAAGAGGGTCTGACTGAGAGCCTCAGTTACAACTACAATCAGTCCTCTGTATCCGTGGGTTCCGCATCTGTGGATTCAACCAACCATGGATTGAAAATATTCAGAAAACAAAAATTCCATAAAGTTCCAAAAAAGCACAACTTGACTTTGCCACACCAAGTACTATGTTGAATCCACGTGAATAAAGTGATGTGTAGGCACTGTAGGTGGGTACTTCAAAAAGTTCATGGAAAAAGAAAAGTAGAAGATAATATGAATCTTTCCATGAACTTTTTGAAGACCCCTCATATTAGATATTATGACTTACCAAGAGATTCCCCCTCAAATACCGAGGGATGACTCTACTTTAAAAATGACAAAAAGTTCTTGTTGATTCAGCTTGTTCGTACTATTTTAATATTTTATCTTAGTTTTGTTTTTTTGTTTTTTTGTTCTGCTCTTTGCTACCCAGACTCGCAGCGACATTAAGAATGGGACAATCTTACAACTGGCTATCTCCCCGGTAGGTATTCTTCCTTTCTTGGGTTTATTCATTTAACAAACATATATGAGTACTGATCATGGGCCGGACTCTATTCTAGAAACTAGGACTACGGAGATTAAAAAGTCCATCTTTGTTCTTAAGCCCAGTTGAGGGTAAAGAAACAAATATAAGGCCTCTCTCAAGGGTCTTGAGAGAAAGTTGCTTAGGGAGTCATGGGCACTCAGAAAAAGAATCACCTAACTCAGCCTGGGAATTTCTGGAAAGCCTTCCCAGAGAAGGGGGTCACTGCTCAGATGGATATTAAAGGAGAAGCAAGATTATCTAGAGAAAGAAGAAAATGAAAAGTATTCCGAGTAGAGAGATCAACACATGTAAAAGCATAGAGCTGTGCTGTGTTTGGGGAAGGCAGGAGTGCCGGATGACTAAAGACCCGTAGCAGTCATTGAGAAGCCAGATATCGAAGGTTCCTGAATGGCCTGCTCATGGGTTTGGATATTATCCAGAAGGAAACTGGGGACACTGAAAGATTTTAAGCAGGAAGGTATATTATGTTTAGATTTAACTTTCAGAAAGATCACTTTAGTGACAGTGTGGAATATGGGCTAAAAGAAGAAAGGTTGGTGGTAGGAGGAACCTTTAAGAGGCTGATGAGGAATGTTAATAGGCCAGTGAAGGCACATGACAACGGAGATGAAAGGATGGACATGAAAAATATTTAGGAGGTAACCTTGACACATATGGTGATACACTAGATGTGGAAGGAAAGGGGAGAACCCAAGATCACCCCTGATTTCTGCAAAAGCAGGCCTTAAAGGTAACTAAGGAAGCAACTAAAATGGTAGAAAGAAAACCAGGGGTGTGAAGTGACTCAGGAGCTGAGGGCAAGGAGAGTGTCAGGATGGAGGAAGGTGTGGTCTGCAACTTTTAATGACCAGCGAGATGAAGAAAACAGAACAGAAAAGCTGTCTACTGACCTGGGAGGTCAAGAGGTCACTGGTGCTCTTCACCAAAACAGTTTAGGTGGGGAAGTTGGGTGGCCAGATTGTGGTGGATTGAGTAAAAGAAAGGTGAAAAAGTAAGGACTTTGAGTATACCACTAGATCAAGAAGCTTGTTTTTAAAAGGAAATAGAGAAGGTAGTAACTCAAAGGGGATAAAGAATTAAAAAGATGTGCTTTTTAAAAACATTAATGTGTTTCAAAAATCAAAAAGTTTGACAGATACAGTGAAAGATCTCCCTCCCACTTCTGTCCCCCATTTACCCAGTTTTCCACCTCTCCGACCCTTCACAGTTTTTGACTGTGCAATTTTTGATGTGTCCTTGAGAATGTGTTAAGGTGGAAGAGAGGAAGGTTGAAAGTGCAGGAAAGGGGGTAACTAATAGAACAGGAAAGGACCCAAAGTCCAGGTGGAGTCCACCTTGACTTGTGGGCCTATGAGGAAGAGGATCAATATTGGGGCAGCTTTGGTTATATTTGTAGAAGGTGGTCAAAAATTAAGGACACAACAGCACCTGTTTTCTTGATGAAGCGAGAGACCATTCTGTGGGGTGGGGGTTGGAGTAGTATCAGCTATCATGTACTGAACACCTATATTTTGCTAAATCTTCTGTATATTGTGTTGTCTAAACCTTACAAATACCCGAAGAGATAAGTACTCTCCATAGCTCCATTTTGCAGAGAAGGAAACCGAGACTTAGAGAGGGTAAGTAACTTGCCACTTGTGACACAGCTAAAAAAGTAGCCCTCAAACCCAGGTCTGTCTGACTTTAGGCCAGTATTCTTACCAGCGTGTTCTTCTGCCTCCTTCTCTTCTCTTGAGCTCTTCTCTTCTTAGGGACTTCATCCTTCCCTCCTAAGTTCTGCTAATTTAATATGACAGTCTGGGAGTTACTCACTTTCGTGGAAGTGCCAAAGCATTTTACAGACCTCTTACCCAGAGTAGTTGACTTTCCCAGAAGCACATCTCTCTGGAGTAGGAGGCAGCAGCCCAGAAATGCTGTCTCAGGAGGCAAATTGACATTTGGAGTTATAAGTTTCTAAGTGTGATGCAGACCAGTGCTCTCCAAATTGTTCTATCTTATGACCTTTTCTCGTGGTGAACATTCTCTCAGCCGTAGAGATATTGGAAGATTTCTGTATCATCGAGAGCAGTGTGCTGTTAAGGGCTGTCTTCGTGATAGTAAAGGAGGAGAGGCAAAAAGGGGAGGGATCCAGGCCTGAGTCCTTGGCCGGCAGCAGGAACGGGGCTCCGGGCATTCGCTTAACACTGAGAAAAAAGAAAGACTCCAGGGGTGTTTTTGCTCTTACGTCTCTTCCTTTCCAGGAAAGAACATTAAATTAACACCCCAAAAATAGAGTATGATGAAACAGTAGATTGTGAGGCACTATGAAGTTAATTTCAGCAAAAGGAAAGATCAGTGAATACTAGAGGAAAGATTTTAGCCATAGCTTTCAGGAAGGAGGCAAGCATCCTGCTAGGAACAGTTCACATGCTGGGAGGAAGGTTTGCTTTCCCCAGCCATCATTTTCTAAAAGCTATTTTGAAATTAACTGTTTCTGGCTCCTTGATATTCTTAAAGTTTCCAGGGAGTATCATTTTCAGAAACAATGATATGGACTTTGAGAGAAAGTTTTAAAAAAAATTGTCAGGCTTATCACATTTGATTAAAAGGGACCTTAAAGATCATCAGAGTAAATTCTCCACCCAATGCAAGAATCCTTTCTATAGCATTTTTGGCATATGTTTGTCTAGATTCTCCTTGATTGCTTCTAATGGCAAGGAGCTCAATACCTCAAGAGAAACCTTTTCCACTGTCTGACAGCTTTAATTAATAGAAAACTCTCCTCTGTTAAACCAATGTCTGTTTCCCAGTGACTTGCCAGAGTTAGTGTATCTCCCAGATCTCTTTTGTATTCATTCCCTTGTTAGGAATTTTTTTAATCCATACATCAGAATGGTATGGAAAAGATACAGATAATGACAGATTGGTCTTGGCATACCGGTAATTCCCTGATAATCCAATAAACATTTATTTAGCAATTCCTAAGCAGTGTGAAAAACTGGTTCTGCCTCAGGTTTGGATGTCCACAGAAAGGCCCCTGTGAGCTATCCATAGAGCAGCAACCTGCCACAAGGAGCAGATGGCATATGTCTTGTTTCTGTTCTCACAGTCCCGGGCCGCACGCCAGCTGATGGAGAGGACCCAGTCTTCCAACATGGAGACCCGTCTGGATGCCATGAAAGAGCTGGCCAAGCTCTCCGCTGACGTGACTTTCGCTACTGAGTTTATCAACATGGATGGCATCATTGTGCTGACAAGGCTCGTGGAAAGTGGAACCAAGCTCCTATCCCAGTAAGTATTCCTGAAGTCTTGTTCCAAGGGATTTCAAAAGTTTACTACACTCCACAGGGCATCTTGTTCTTGTTTCCATTGAGTCAAATAAGGAGGTTATCGAGCATCTTCTGTATGCAGAGCAGTGTGCCAAGCACTTGAGTCCTTACAGGAATGTCTAATTGACTATTGTCCTAAATCTTGTAGTCTGGTTGGGCTCTCACAAATTAACAGTACAAAGCAGCACTGCACCAAGTGTGTAGTAAAGATAGAGGCTATAGAAGTCAGAAAGAGAGAGGTCGGTTTGATGACAGACCTGTTAATGTATGGAAATGCTTAGCCTGATGAGGGTTAATGAGCAGACTGTCCATTATCTCCCAGACCAGGTGCCTGTCTATGCTTAGCCCTGCCTTCCTCCCACTCCAGTCACCCTCCATTCCATACACACACTCACAGACACCCATGTGCATGCCTTCCTTTGTGTTTACCACAGGTTACCCACTAACCATTCGTCATCTCCCTGCCACTCATTTTCACAGGGAGGAGGAGATCCAGAACTTTGTAATACTCCATGAATGTCTTTTTAATATCCAGAGTTAAGATGCACATAGTGGGAAGCTACGCCTTGTGATCAGCAATGAATAAACAGATGCTTAGGCTCCCATCTAAGCCTGCAGAGTGTACACTGGCAGAGAGGGAATCAGAAATCTTCTCTCAGCTGATAGATCAGCTGTTGAAACTTTCAACCAAACTGAGCAACTAATCATAGGTATTTGTTTTAAGTCTTAGAGCTTCCAGCCACACTGAAGTCCTGAAGCCTTTGGCTGGCATCAGCACTAACACAGGAGTTCTGCAGTCTCCGAGAGTGCAGAGTTAGCCTGGCCTTAGTTTCCTCCTCTTTAACATGGGGATAATAATGCCTCCCTATAGTATTGTTGTGAGGAGTATTATTAATGAGAATGTGTCTGAACATGCTTTGTCCATGGGAAGATAGCTTGTTAATTCTAGAGCACTATACAGATGTGTAAAGGGTTAACTGTATAAGGAGGAAAGACAGAGAGAAAACATTCTGATCCTCATTCTCTACCAGCACTGTAGTAAGGGCTTTGCACGCATTGTCCTCTTGCCTTCACCACAACCCTGTGAGCATAATGCTCTGAGACTGACTGAGTTTTACAGAGGAAGAAATCGAAGTTTGAAAAGATGAAATTTTTGCAATTACTAAATAGTTGAACAGGAATTGAACCCACGTCCATACTTTGTACCCTTTGTCTCTTACTCTGCTGCCTCCTGGCCTAGAGGTTAACATGGGACATAGGCTACACTGGGTTCTCCCAGATTACTAAATAGTTGAACAGGAATTGAACCCACGTCCATACTTTGTACCCTTTGTCTCATACTCTGCTGCCTCCTGGCCTAGAGGTTAACATGGGACATAGGCTACACTGGGTTCTCCCAGTAAGTTTTGAAGTTTGACACAGGTCTCAGATCTTCTTTGATCTTAGGAAATAGATAAGTGATTCTGTTTTCCTGAGAGGAAGCAGTATGGAGAAGGATAGCCTAACCACCCAGTAGCGTTTTTTGTTTTTTTTTTCCCATGGGTAGATACTTGGGCTGAATCTGCTCCACTTCTGGCTAGACGTGCACACAGGCACTTACAGTCACATCAACTGATTTCCCAGGAGGTGTTTACGTTGAAATCCATGCCTTTTGTGGCTGCCTTGACACCTGTGTTCCCCGGATCTGAATCTTGGTGTTATTTTGTGTGTGTGTGTTGCACATGTCTCAGCTACAGTGAGATGCTGGCATTCACCCTGACTGCCTTCTTAGAGCTCATGGACCATGGCATTGTCTCCTGGGACATGGTTTCAATCACCTTCATTAAACAGGTGAGGCCTCCAACATTTTCTTTCTCTCCTCCCTCAGTTGCCAGTTGTTCCCTGGGCTTTAGGGGTATGGGCAACACAGCCATTCTGGTGAGGGTCACATTTATATCCCCACATGTTTCATCCTTAAGCTCTGCTTGTCCTGTGGGTCCTGAAAGATTTACACTTGTTATGCTTTCGGGGCCTGCACTGAGATGACAGACCTGGGCTCTCAGAACTGAATATCGTTACAGAAGAATTGGATCATCAGTGAAACTTAGGGTAAAACCAGCCAGTCAGCCAGTACCATCCCTGAGTCTTCTGACCTACTTCCTGAGCTTTCCCTTCTCTTTGGATAAAAGATATGCATTTCATTTGCAATTTGCCTTCTATTTACAAATCGGCAAGGTAGCCTGTTTGGATTGTCAGACTAAACTCAGGGAGCAGGAGGGGTACTTCTGGTTTTGCTCTCCTTTCTTCTACAAGAAGGGGCACAGTCAGTTTGGAAGAGTGAACTAAAACCAATGAATAATATATCCACTGATCTAGAATTTTGCCTATCATTGGCTTGGGACATTGGGAACTTCCCAATGTGGGAGATGTTTGGGCAAAAGTGAAATGACCGTGTGTCAGGGATATTATAATGGGGATTGAGAAGAGGGTCCCTTCTACCTCTCAAAGTCTATGATGTTCTAAGTGTGTACAGGGAGAAAGTGTGTGTATAGGGAGAAAGTGTATGTCAGGAGAAGAAGACATGGAGATGAAATGAAATCCCAGTATCAGTAAAATCTGCTTTTCTATACTCAGCTTCCTCACACTGGAACCATTATTTTGGAAAAAAGGGATTACACTCTTAGATTTTGAAAAAACACAACTGAGTGGATACTGTAACCTGGGATTGTGAGTTATCCATGCCTAGCGAATTCCTGGCACATTGGCCGGGGTATAAACCAGGTACCACTATACACTTAGCAACCAGTGCCCCAATGTGGGCATCACAACCAAGAGGAGACAGCTTCAAGGGCTGGCATCAGATACCTGAGCTGTCCAGCTCTTCTGGACCCTGAGCTTCTCAACTGATTTGCCCCTCTCTGGGTCTAGATTGCAGGGTATGTGAGCCAGCCCATGGTGGACGTGTCCATCCTTCAGAGGTCCCTGGCCATCCTGGAGAGCATGGTCTTGAACAGCCAAAGTCTTTACCAGAAGATAGCAGAGGAAATCACCGTGGGACAGCTCATCTCACACCTCCAGGTGTGAGTAAGAAACCCTTCCCACCCTCCCTTTGCTTGTGTCTTTTCTTCTCTCCTCTTATTTTGTTCAAGTCTTCCAATGTTACCTCTCCTTTGCTTATATCCCCAGCTGCTGGTCTGCTTGTCCAGTCATTTATCATCTCTCCTACACTACTGCCAGAATTCCTCCTGTAATTCAGGCCTGACCATGTCATGCTCCTGCCTAAAATCCTCTGTGCTTCTCCTTGTCCCTTATACTGAAGTAAAGGTCTTCTCAGTCTTCCCATATCACCCTGGTTCCCGACAGAATTCAATGCTTTCTCCCCTATGGGCCCAGTAGTCTCTGTTTGTACCTATGATAATTATATAAAATACTGTATGTTTATTATCTGTTGCCCATTTTAAACTTTGAGCTCCCTGGGAACAGGGACCAATCATTTTTGTATCCCCTGCTTTCATTTAAGTACAAGCTCAATTAGTATTTGTTGAATGAATGCTTAACTGAACTAGCAGTGTGCCGTGGAGAATAGCAAGAAGTATCATACAGTATGTGAGTTCAGGATATTAGCTCAAATCCAAGCTTTGCGCATACCAGATCTCTGCATTCAGCAAGTTACCTAGTCTGTCTGGTCTGAGTTTCCCCATCTCTAGACTGGGGTTAATCATGCCCACCTCTGAGACTATTAAGATCAAAGGAGATATTTTTAAAAAAGAGGTCTAGCATAGTGGCCAGCACAGGTTAGGTAGTCAGTAAATTCAGGGGTATTTTGCTTTAGTTTTTTGAGAAGCTTATCACAGTCTAAACCATTTTGCCAGATAATAAAACCAGAATGACAAGTGAACCCATTGGAGTACTGTCCCTCTCCTCTTCATTTTTGTTACTTCACTTTCAACCAGTCTGCACAATTTAATGGGGCTGGGCTTCCCAAAATGAGGGTGGTACTACTATTGATTCCTTTCTGACTCTTGCTCACTTCTAACTTCTTGGACATTGACAGAGTGCTGCCAGAATCCCTGCCAGCTCCAGGGGAAGTCACGGCTCCCATATTTAGGAGTTTATAACAACCCTGTCTTCACTCAGCTATGTTCCCAACTGTTACTTCGTTACACTTCCCTCTGTGTAATGGAGATGAAAAAAGAAAGAATTACTCAAAGCACCATGAATGCCATGAGTGGCCGGAAGTGACTGCACTTCAGCAATTCCTCTGTTAGGAGGAGAAAGCTGAATGTGACAGCCCTGATTCAAAGTTAGCTTCTCTTTTTTATTGTAAAGACAAGGAACTTTCACAAGAAAATTCAGCTGATTCAATCATCACAGACAGACATAAAAAAAAAAGGCAGTGTAAAACTAGTAACAGCAGTAAAATTAACAATGTGACATTCCAGAATGCAATTTGTAAAAAGCTAAGTTGATCCACCAACAAACAGCTTACCCTTAGCAAACATTTTCTTTCCCTACAGCAATTTCCTCAGCATATTTAAACAACAATCAGGCAGCTTCCTCAACATATTTTAACAACAATCAGTAGGTTAACCTGCACCAAGGACATCTGCCCTTAGTGCCAGCAATTTTGCTGTGTTATAATTCTTTATCTACAACAGAGACTTTAGCCCAGGGAAAGTTTCATGTCTTTTCTAAAAAGTTAGGCCCTGTGAAATACATTTGCTTTATTAATGGTTAGTCCTCTCCACACCCAACCTGTTTTTCCCCACTAATCCAAGTGAAAAGAAAACACAATGATTTATTTGCAGCTCTGATTTCTCCTTGTCATTTAAAGGAGTTCTTCAGCCTCAGCTTTCCTACCCAGAGAGCCAACAAAGTTGATTAGGGTGAGGGGGACATTATAAACTCCTGATAGAGAATTCTGATTCTCCTGTAACCTCATACCTACCTCTATGTTTATTTGTCTCTGAATTGGGACTGACCCCAGTTGCTTCCTTAAGGATGACAGAGGAGCATGGCATTTCTCAGGGGTCAGTCGTGAATACCTTCAGCCCACAGCTGTCACCAGAACTTACGTGCTCTGTTGTTTGAGCTAAAGAAGCTTAGTGCCCTCTGTTAGATTCCTCTGTTAGACAGGCTCTGTGGCTATCTTTCTAGAGGGACTGATGGGCTTCCTGGTCCTGCCTGATGATTCCTTTCTGACTCTTGTTCACTCTGCCTGACCAGGAAGCCCACCAGCCCCTCTAGAAAGATAGCCACAGACTACCCACAACATGGCAGGTGAAGACCTTGTCTTGCCAAGTGCCAGGATTATGAGATTCCAGAGAATGGTTGTAGTTATTTTGTTTGCTTAAAATAAAGTAAGATAAATTTGTAGTCAAAGACTTTGAAAATACAGAAAAGCACAAAAGGTCAATTATTTGCCCATTATCCCACCTCCAGACATAACCATTGTTAAGCATTAAATTGAATGTCTCTCCAGTCTTTTTTTTTTTATGCATATTTTTAACAAAATTGGGATCTCATTATACATACTATGTGTACCTTGATTTTTTTTTAACCTAGATAATATATCTTAAACATTTGCCCATGTCAAAGATTCTTCTTAAAGGGTAGTTCTAAACCTTTTGGCATCCATATGCCTTTGAAAATCCAATAACAAACTGTGGACTCTTACATCTTTGGAAAAAATAGCCCATAGCCAACTGACTACATAAAATAATTTCTGTGGTTCACAGAGACTCTAAGCCCATCCCTGAATCCCAGGTTAAGAATCATGACCTAAACCACGATTTTTAGTAACTACTTAGGATTCTCATATGTATAAACAGAGTTGTTAATGTGGACATTTGTATTACTTACCATTCTTTCTTTTTTTGATAGTACTTTAGTGAAATGCCTTGGTCAATAAATCTTGCACAGCTCTCTGATTACTGTCAGAATAAATTCTTATTAGTGGAATTGCTGTGTCAAGAACATGCCCACTTTTAATGCTTTTGAGACTTAGCCTTAGATTATTATTTGATTGCAATCTGTAAGTGATTGTTTTAAACTGTTTCTAAGCATCATCTTGCTGTGCAGTCTTCTAATCTCCTTCTGCCTTCTTTTTCCATTGACACAGCTCCAACCAAGAGATTCAGACCTACGCCATTGCACTGATTAATGCACTTTTTCTGAAGGCTCCTGAGGATAAGCGACAGGTCTGTGGCTGCCTTTTCAAACTTTTCATCTAGGTTCTTCTAAGAGAAGAATTCTTACCCCACTCGCTCTTTGCTATGAGGAGAGCAGAAATTCAGCCATTTTCTCCAGACTCCTTCCTCCTAGTCCTGTGTGGTCAGAGCCCAGCAGGCAGCTTTGCTAAGTGTATTAGTCTGTTTTCTATTGCTTATAACAGAATACCAGAAACTGGGTAACTTATAAAGAAATAAAATTTATTATCTCCAGTTTTGGAAGCTGGGAAGTCCATAGTCCAAAGGGCATGTCTGGTGAGGGCCTTCTCCTTGGTGGGGGCTCTGTAGAGTCCTGTGGCAACACAGGGTATCACATGGCGAGAAATGGCATGAGCAAGAAACTTAACATGCTCACTTGCTCTCCCTGTAAAACCACCAGAACAACTTCCAGATAACCTGTGAAACCATTAACCCATTACTGCATGAATGGATTATTCTATTCATGAGGGCATAGTTGTCATTATCCAATCACCTCTTCCAGACCCAACCTTTCAACACTGCCTTAGTCTGATTTCCCACCCTCTTAATACTGTTACAATAGGGATCGAGTGTTAAGGAGTTTGGGGGGGGACAGTCAATCCACAGGAAGATCCAGGGAAGAACTAGGACGGAAGATCAGCTGAGTGTTAGATCATAGCAGGGCCTGCAAACTGTTTCCTCTAAAGAGCTGGAGAGTAAATATTTCCCATTTTGGGGGCCATGTGGTCTGCGTGGCAACTACTCAACCTTGCCATAGTAGCTAAAGCAGATTATAGGTAAACGAAAGAATATGGTTTTCTTCTAATAAACCTTATCTATACAAGTAGGCAACAAGCCTACAGTGTCCATAGTTTGCTAACTCCTGAGTTAAAGGATCCAGAATAAGGAAAAAGACACCTGGGCATCACTGTTGAACCCAAGGAGTCTGAAATAAATGGGACTTAGCACTAAGTTTCATGTATAAAGATCCTCTAATCTAGATTCTAAATGTCTTTCTTCCCTTATTAATTAGCTGTGTGACATTACGCAAATTGCCCTGCCTCTCTGAATCTCAGTTTCCTCAGCTGTAGATGGAAGTGACAATATCTTCCCTGTTTACCTGACAAGGATGCCATGCAGAAAAACAAGACCCCTACATTACAAATGAGGAAACCAGAAATCACCTGGGCAGTGGAACAAGCACTATCTTAAGAGTCAAGGGGCCAGGGACTAAGTACTTTTCCTGCCCCTGGCTGTGCAAGTATTTTTAACATGTCTGGGTCTCAGTTTCTCTTTCTGTTAAATGAAAGAGACAGTTTAAATGATCTCTAAGTTCCCTTCCAACACTAATATTCTACATTTCTCTGATAAAAATCCAAGTGATGTACAGAAGACTTTTGAATTCTCTGTCAATATCATGGGCTCAGTAAGGTGAAATCCAAGTGGGATTACGTACCAAGAGAAGAACCAGAAGCATCTCTTGTTCTGTCTGTCTGTCTTTTTTGGATGGCTTGGCTCTGTTAATCTCTTCCTTCCCAGTCCTTGTTTGAATGTAAGCTGAAAGCTCATTCTGTCTGCTCTCTGTGCTTTTTGCTTTCTGCCGGCAGGACAAGCACCTTAATCCTCTAGACCTGCCTGTCACTGTAAGTAGCACTGCCGTGTGGAAAGGGCCCTGGCTCTCTTCCAGGTGGGGAAGTCAAAGCTGGACAAGAATCTCCTGGTCTGATCTAGATGTTTAAGGAACACGAAGACCCAGGGAAATGCATGCTGTAAATCTCATTTGTCGGGACACCTAGGAAAGTGCTATAGATTAGAGTCACAGAAAGGATTGAGGGGATGCCGGCCCCAGGGAATATGGCCCAATCTTTCCTTTTTAACTTGCCTTTACATGGGTCTGTGGTCCAACTAGGGAAGGTCAGGTTCAAAAATAGCCTGTGACTTTCATCTAGACGATACCATGATGCATCACCTTCCAACTCGCTGTAGCAAAAGAGTAAAGGTAAATCCATGCCCTTTTTGGTTCTTACTAGACTGTAGGGATTTGACAAGGTTTGGGTAGTTGACAAAAAGGGAGTTTGGATGCTTATTTCTTGGTCAGAGGAAGCCTTAGAGAGGTCAGCTTTACAAAGATATGAAAGAAGATAAGTGCTTCCCCCCAGCACCACAGAGAAGCTTTTGGTCTAAGACCTTTATATTCTAGCTATAGACCACTGTCAATTACCCACTTTGTGAGCTGTTCACAGCAAGATTTAATCTCAACTGACCTCCCGTTGCTACCAAAGAAGTCTCGAGGCCACCTTTCTCCTCTGCCAGCCAGTATGTGCTCAGGGAGTGCAGAATAAAGCTTAGTGTTCCTGGCAGCAGCAGCCATTTGGAATATGGCTAGAAATCTAGCAGTGAGAGAGAAAGGCCTTTCAGCTCTGAGAAAAATGACAGAGCTCAGGGGTATTACTCCATAGGAGAGGTGTGACAGCTCCCTCAGGCCTACTGAGTTAGAATTATCTATAAAATTAAATGAAAGCAGCAGTTTAGAAAGTAAAGTCATACTAATTAACATTATTAAGAAAGGATGGCTGACATTGGAAGGAGGAGAAAGAAGAATTATAAAAAGCTGTCAGAAAAATTAAAAGCATTGTAATCTGGGACCATTTTGTTTAGGGGAAAATAGCTTCACATTTCAATAGCTCCTCAGGGTATTAAAATGTCACAACACAGAATAATAACTAATGTTCTTTTTTGATGAAGCTGAGTCCTTGGGAATGATTAAATTATAATCATTATAGTCTCTTCAGAAATAAAGAAACGTATATAATATATTTTTAAAAGATTTGCATAAGAATGGTGAAAATAATGGTTCTGAGAGAACTCTTAAAGCTTTGCTCCCTGGAAGATTCATTTATGTAGGATACTTTATTTCCTGGGTGTGTGCTTAATAAATAAAGTGTTACTGTCAAAATCTGAAACAAATATAATTGAAAAGGTGAACATGTTTTGAAAAATTACCCGAAAGCACCTAACACATTGCTCTTTAAACCAGACAGAGGTGAATCACAGACTACTTACTGTTTTAGAGTGGCTGCACCCCAGCCCCATCTGCCGGGGAGGAGGCGGTGGTGGTGGGGAGGCTGAGCCAAAGCCCTTTCCTCAGTTCAGTGTCAGTACTGCATTAGCCTTCCTTCCATCCTGGTGGTGTCTGCCTGGAACAACACATGTGGCTTGGAAACCGTCACACTGCTCTGTGCTCCACATGCAATGTCCGTTGCCCAGCATCCTTGTCACACGAGTTTCTTGTCCTCAAGCAGTCCACGTTCCTCTTTGAAGATGATTATGGCGTTAGGAAGGAAAACTCTATTTAAGTTAATTTGCACTCACAAAAAAGAAATAAAGTGAAGAATTTTTCAGAGTGTAAAATACATTTGATGGTCAAATTCTTCTACTCACCCACTTTTCATTTGAAAGGAAAAAAAATTAAGAAACAGAAAAAACCCCAAAGCTATGATGTCACCTTCCTCTTGATAGTAGTCACAGGTGTGTGCCTGCCACCCTGCCTTATATTTACTTATTTTTCTCCATAGGATATGGCCAATGCATTTGCACAGAAGCACCTTCGGTCCATAATCCTGAATGTAAGTTCCTGGAACACACTGTATTGTTACTATTGTTTTGTCACTTTTAATAGCAATTATTACTATTATTATAGTTCTTGTATTATTACTGAAATTATTATTGAGTGGGGAGGGCAGTCAGAGGGAACTTATCAATATGTACTAAACACTTCTTAAACTGGAAAGCTTTTTCTTGTAATCCTCCATGAGCAGAGTTGTCTGCTAGAGGCCATGCCACCAGGAACTGCAGAGCCTGTAGAGAGGGACTAAGGCCAGCTATACTGTTTGTTGCCCAGCAACTCCAAAATTTTTATCCACAGAGAATATGTTAAAATAAGCACACAAGAGAAAAGTAATTTATCCAATTAACACCAATCATAAACCTGAATTGTGTAAGGCATGGACAGAGATAAATAACAGAGTGTGTTTGCTCTCAAAGACCTTCTGGTCTAGTGGGAAAGACTAGTAATCATAGCACAGTGAGGTCAGTGTTTCCATAGAGTTTGTGGTCTTGGAGAGGACAGAGAGGGGCAGTGAGTCCCACCTTGAAGGAGAGGGTGTCAGGAAGCCTTTAGAGGAGTGTCTTCAAGTGAGCTTGAGGGAGAAGTAGGCAGACCAGGAAGAAGAGGAATTCTATCTGTACAGTGGCTGGAACCTAGAAGGAGTGTGCAGCTGAGTACAGGGTGGGGCAAGGAGCAAATTTGGGGTGAGGCTGGAGAGGTAGCAAGGACCAGATTGTGTAAGTCCTTCGTCTTAGTCCTAAGGACAACTGAGGGGATTTGATCAGGATGGTGAAATAACCAGATTTGCATTTTAGAAAGATCACACTGAAAGATCTTCGTGTAAGTCCTTCGTCTTAGTCCTAAGGACAACTGAGGGAATTTGATCAGGATGGTGAAATAACCAGATTTGCATTTTAGAAAGATCACACTGAAAGATCTTTGTGTTTCCTGAGTGGTGTATGAGGGAGGTAGGTAGAGTAGGAGTTGGTGGGGGGTGACCTGGAAAGAGGTCTAATTCACTGTTACCACAGTGGTGATGCCAAGGTCAGAGATGGGGGTGGTGTGAGCTGGGGAGGAGAGCCAAGGACCTGGATTAAAAGGAAGCAGTTTTATCAGTTGTCAAACATAAGGCTGTTACCACAGTGGTGATGCCAAGGTCAGAGATGGGGGTGGTGTGAGCCGGGGAGGAGAGCCAAGGACCTGGATTAAAAGGAAGCAGTTTTATCAGTTGTCAAACATAAGGGAAACTGGGAGGCCACA